TCTCTCTAGGACTATGTTTTTGCTCTGGAAAACCGTCTCTCTCTCTTTAGCTTGAAACAACCTTTTTAACCAGACACTGGGCAAAACACGGTCGAAGACACGAACGTGTTTTACTTTTTCCGCCCGTGTTTTCTCCTCATGTGTAGAATACACGCTCGCGCCGAGTAAAATACGGGCGTGCCCAAGGAGTGACACGATCGTGTTCTGGAGTATTTTGCCCGTGTTATTGGCCCAGCTTCATCGAATGACCTCCAAAAGCCCCAAAACTTGTGCCTAGCCCTTCCTTCGACGTCAAGGACCCGAAATGTGACAAAATAGCACAACCCAACGTAAAAGAGGCCAAAGATACATGACTACGAGCCACAAATGGATAAGAAATAAGGGTGTAAACATGTGCAAATACATCGTTATCAAATTCCCTCGCACTTAATTGTTTGCTTGTCCCCAAGCAAACCAAGTCACACGCAAGGTACTCAAAACATTTTTACCATGCAAGCTTTAGGGACATATCATATCGGCACTAAACACGCAAATATAATTAGCTTTTAGTCATTAACACATGAACAACTTCAACGGCAACCTAGACAACCACCATAGATGACATTCGAGTGCAGCAAAGTGGAGCAAATGAGGAGTCTCCCTTCTGTTCACCAACCAACATAGACTTGACCCAACCACTTATCCAAGACAGTCACCTCATGCATAAAACTCAAGACATCAGAATCAAGACCGAGCAATCTAGGTCCTCACCGAGATAAAGAGTGTAGAGGATATAAGGAAATGAATCGCTCACTCTCGACCAGTGGGGTCAGGACAATTTGATGCGAAAAATGAGCATGCTTATTCTCTCAATTCCTAACGTCTCTTCACCATGACGGCAACCTCTAAATGCTAGAATTCACATATCAGATGTCACCACTAACTAATCTGGAGGTCTTAGACACAGGTTCAGATGACTGGCGAGGGTCTTGGACATGGGGAAAAGGGCTTTTAGGTGGTGGAAGTATTCATAACACAAGGTACCACAGTTCCAAATCCAACAAAGTCACAATCATTCAAACCAATTACTTTCTTTTTGCCATTCTGCATTAATCACGTTCTTCAGAGAACAAGAGTGAAGGAGGTCACAATACTGTTAGTATTTCTAAGCCAGACTGCTAAGAAACACTACTTAATGAGCATGATTCAGATTTTTAGTAGTGGCTCTCTTTTGCTTTCATTCTTTTTTTTCTTTTTTTTTTTCATTTCTTGAGAGAACCACCACCTCTGCACATTTTTAAAATCACATGCCTAATTTTTAAGAACTACCTCCAACCCTCATATTATTTCTAGCAGAACAGCAGAGAACATGCAAAAACCACTCTGTGGAACCTATAAGGGATGCAAAAGGGTGATTTTTCATTGTAGACTGAAAAGAAGGAAAGTGGCACGGCTCAAAGGGGCTGACAGGGGGTATGACACACTGGGAGAATCAATTTGGTCGTGAGCTATTCCTATGTCTCCATCATCCTAATTAGTGACAACATGAATACTACACATATGGAAGAGGGATCTATCACACAAGAAAGAAACGAGTAGGCTCAAATCTCACATGGCTACCTTTATGCTCTATCTCTCATTCTGATTCCCTGAACTAGATGCATAAACGACTGTAGAAAATAAGTGATCAATCCAAGTCACAGTTGGTAAGAAAACAGTTGAGAAACTGAACCTCTACACAACTCTACTGCACGTCTCATTCATCATTATAGGTCGTCCTAGTCACAATCCAGTTATCATGCATCAATTCTGAATAGCCAATACAAGGCCCAATTTATGGTCAAAAAAGATCAAAGAGATAGAGTGCGAAGCATCAGAAGACTATCAAGATTTCATCTCCTGGGATGGATTCAATCCACATCCCATAGTGCCATCTTTAATAAATACCAAAGAATGGGACGATGGGTGGACATCAGAACTTGCTCTATACATGCTATATGTTTAGTCTTTTAGTTTTGAAATTTGATCCAATGCTAGTAGTTACGTGATTTAGGTGAAATTTGTCAACATTTCCTAAAGATGTTTTCCATCAACTAACTTGTTTAATCATCCCCTACAAGCATGTTTGTTACTGATTCGGGTACTATTATACACATTTTATCCCCATTTTCCTTAGAAGTTTGATGCATTTGGATTCCATGAGGTTTGGTTTTATGCTAGATTTCGCTTTGTTTTAGTATGTTTCAGATCCTAGCAGGTGGAACTGACACCGAAATCGAAAGTGGGACTAAAATGAGCGAAAATGAGTCAAAGGGTGGAAGCAGGTGAGGGTCACGACAAATGATGATTTTTCACGGTCTTAGGATTGTGAAAAGGGCTCCCAGATCGTGAAAAGGGCTCCCAGACCGTTAAGTGTCAAGGGTCCAGGAGCATTTGCACACCTCGCGGGCTCCTAGTTAGTTCACGATCGTAAGATCGTGAACCAAAGCCCCAGAACATGAACAGACTAAATGAAATGGTGCAGATCATCTCGACATCACGGTCTAGGAGGAATGTTCACGACCGTGAACTAGGACCGTGAACTGACCGCGACCTGGGTATAAAAGGAGGGCTAAGCTGAAGGAACAAGGGGGAGGGGGGATATAGTGTGAGAAACTTATTCTTCTTCTTCTTCAAATTTCTAGTGTGAGAAAGTGACGAACCAAAGAAGAGAAGAAGTTATGGTTTCATCTTCAAGCAAGGTTTTGGGAATTCCTTCACCAAAGGAGGATCTCTTCAACACAAGGAGCAAGGCTAGCATCTCCATGATGGTTTCCCTTCTTCTCCCTTGTGTTCTCCCTTCTCCTAGCATGGAGTAGTCCCTTATTTCATTTGGGTGTTTATAAAACCTAGCTACAATTATGTGAATGTTTGTATGGGTTGAATGATTTGTGTGAGGGTGTGTTTTAATCAAGGTTGTCAACCCGCGGGTTGACCCGGGTTGGCCCGGGCCCGGAGGAGAAAACGGGCGCTGAACACCCGTTCAAGGATTAGCCTGGAATGGTCAAACCCGTTTTGGGCCGGTCAAAACCCAGAGGACCCGGGCGGTTAGCCGGCCAAAATCGATACCGGGCTGGGCTTTGTCGTCGTTTGCGTTGAAGGAGATTTTTCAGATCCGCCCTTATGCAAAAGCTAAAGAATCGCGTGGAGGACTCCGAGTGTGGTGGCCGACGCTCGGACTAAAGAGAGGACGTGGTTGACGACCGAGGTGGAGGGAAATGATGTGGATTGTGTGGTGGTATTCTCGCCATCGTCGGGCCGTGAGAGGGGTTTTAAACCAAGCAAATCTGGCGGCGGGGATATCGTCGTCTTTGGAAAGCATTTTGGGATTTGCCTATGTTTGGCTCGGCTTTTAGAAGTGCTTTTCGGCTTCAAAAGCTGAAGTAGAGCCAAACACCTCTAAGAGCTCGGCTTTTGAAAAGCCGAAAAGCGCTTTTGTATAACATAAAATCAGAAGCTCCAATTTGGAGCTTCTGCGAAAAGCCTTTTTGAAAATACAAGATTATCCTTACCATATTTTAATTTTATTTCAGGAAAATATAATTTTCCTTCATTTATATCATTTTAAAAATAAAATAAATTATAAAATCATATTATTTAATATAAAAGAAATCTAACAAGATCCATTTTTACTACTTTTTACTGTTTAGAATTTTTATTCGTATTTTATATTATAAGTCCTTTATAGTCATTTTACACAACCGTTCATATTAAAAAACACTTCTAATAGTTTTACCGGCAAACACTAAACCGTTTTTTTTTTTGAAAAGTACTTATCTAAAAACTCCAACCAGAACCTGCTTCTGTAAAAACTACAGCAGGCCCAAAGTAAGCTTTTGTTTGGGGAATGAAAGCGATTGGAAGAGGAGGAGCCGGGACTGGGAGTAGCGATTGCCGACTAGGAAGCTTTTTCAGGCAGAGGAAGAGAAAAGGGATTTTTATTGGAACGAGGAGGATTATTTTTTTGGATCTGCTGTAATTGTAAAGAGAGAAGGGTGGGGTTTACTTTAGGCTTGTAATCGGTAGTTCTAGGGTTTTTTCCCAATCATATGGTAAATTCGCATATAGTGCTTGTAGTTGTAGGGTTAATGTTATCGTATGTTACTTGTAAATAATTACATTTCAATCATTATATCATCAAATCATTACAATATTTGCATATATTTGTTAATATCCGGGCTAAACCGAGCTAATCCGGGCTAAAACGATCCGGCCATTAACCGTTAGACCACTCGTTCAGCCGGGTTAACAACCTTGGATTTTACCCTTTCTCTAGTCACATGTACATCAATCTCAATGTGCCTCGTCCGTTTCAAGGAACACAGGGTTTTCAACAATATGAATTGTTGATTTGTTGTCAAATAGGGATCTGGTCCCCCAAATGGAGCACGTCGGAGCCCCGCCAGCTTCATGTTCCGCCTCATCAACGCTAACCCGAAGACGAGGATCACCCTCAACGAAATCCAACACGACCCCTTATTCAACAAGGATTACAAGGAGACGAGTTACTACTAGGTGGTGGAGGATATTTCGACTTCGGCGGCAGCGAGTGCAGCCTCAACGCGTTCGACTTGATTTCTTTTTTCCTCTGGCTTTGACCTCTCCCGCTTGTTTAATGAGTTCGGCGACTACACGTCCGCCTACGGCGGGCAGTTCGTGACTGCAAAAAGGGAGATGGACGGTTTTTGGATTTTTGCCTTTTTGGTGGAGTGCAATTTAGGGTTTGACTTTTTAAATTATTATATTTGGGACATAAAATAATTCAAACCTAAATTAGGAGTGTTTATGAGTAAATGAGAAGGCAATTGGATCATTTCACAACTCATTTAACGACCACTTAACATATAATTGGATGAAATGGTAAACTCGTTACGTTTTAGTATTAAAAGGGTATATTTGTGCAAAAAAATTAACAGAGAGATACGTTTGTTTATTCACCTTAAAGGGGTACAAAATGCTATTAACCTTTTTTTCAGAAAATTTGAATTTCCAAGGTTTTATCCAGAGAATGGATTGGAAATTGGAGCCCTAGTATATTCATATAGATATACATCAAGCACTGGGAAAGAGAGTGCAATATTATAGCACGGATTAATTATACAGCAGCACTTGTGCACATTGCCATGCATGAACAAACAAACACAAGCCTCAATGCCGTACTTGCGGTTAAAGATGGACGAGTGTTAATACTTAAGGTTCAATGCAGTCGCCCAGAATTATCTGTCAATTAAACTGTGGCCCATAATGAAGCACAGAGCGAAAGAACATTCAATGGTTATGATGATACTCATGATGAATCTAACGATAAGCAAATAAATGAAAAACCCTACCTCCTCCCAGCCTAGCCCTAGACCATCTTCTCAATGTTACAACAGGTCCTTCCATTAGCAAATGTTAAGCTTTCCCTACTTCTTGTTTCCCACAGCACAGCTTTACTCGCTGTCCTTCCTGCCTATATGACCAGTCTTTCTCTTGTGGCGGCTGAAATCTGACACAAACCTGAATGTCTGACCGCATCCTTCTTCTGCACACACATAAGGGCGTGCACCCGTGTGAACCCTGATGTGCTCGGTTCTAGCCCAAGCCCACTTGAATGACATCTTGCACCCCTTCCATGGGCACTTGAGTGGCCTGTCATCCACATGGACTCTCCTGTGCTGCACCAGATACTTGTGCGAGAAGAACACCTTCCCGCATCCCTTCACTGGGCAAATGTTCCTTTTGTGGACATTAAGCTCTTGCTTTGACCCAAAACTCATGGTGCATCCATCAATATCACACTGGTACTGTTCTTCTTCCACCTCTTTCATCTTCACGCTCTTGTTGCGCCCACCAGCAGGAGTAGAAGACTTCATCACTTTGATCCGGCTACTACTACTTCCCTTCTTCTCCTTGTTAGACTTATTATTTCCAGGCCCTTGAGGAGCAGGTTTTGAGGGCCTTTTCCTGAGGCGTGTGCTAGGCCCGCCTTCCTGATCAAACTCATCATAATCATTTACAGGCCTCTTCTGCTGTTTGGCTGACAAAAGAAGAGTCTCTTTCTGCATTGGTTTCTTCCCACCTCTCACCTGTTGTGGAATTCGGCTTTCCATCTGGCTAAGGGTCGCTGCAGGTTTCCTCTGCTGCTTGCTTCTAAGAACCCTCCCTTTCTGCTGCTTTTCATAACCTTCTCCTACCAAATCATCCGAAATCACATCATCCTCCACCTCCCCTTTGATAAATTTGTTTCGCTTGATACCTCTTGGAGTCTTCCTTGTAAAGTCTTGCTGTCTATCTTCTGTAACTTTAGCTCTTTTGTTGACTCTAGAAATGGTTCTTTGATGGACATCATCATCATAAAGTGGATCATCTGAAACTCCGAGATCTTCTGTTGAATCGAACATGGGATCTTTGCCCCGAAGCATAATAGCCCTTCGATCATTATAGTCTGAAGCATCATCGGACATTGCATCTTCTCTCTCCATTTCAGAGAGGCTTGTAGTTTGCCACTGAACAGCATCTAGAGGATCATCATCATCATCATCAAACACGGCTTCCTCAGGAATCCTGCTGTAACTGTTCTGCTTTTGAGAAATAATGCTTTCTGTCATCTCGCTTGGAGCTGCTACTGCATCTTCCTTCTCAGCAACGCATTTGGCCTTTCTCCTTCGATAGACCTTATGAGACTTCTGAGAACTCTCTTCTTCTTCTAGTGGAACTTCAAAACCTGTCTGCTCCTTCTCCAATAATTTCATTTGCTTATTACTTCTAGGAACTCTTCCATGCCATTGAAGAATGTTGTCCTCTTGTAATAAAGAATCGCCTGAAGCTTCTGATTCTTTCTCGACGTACTTGGGCTGACTGACTCTAGGTGTTCTCCGCTGCTTCTTGGGGGCTTTCTTTGCTGTTTCATAGAACCCTGAATGTTTTTCACAGTCAAAATGTCCGGCTCGCCCCCTTCTAGAGCTCTTGTACTGCTGTAGAGATTCATCAGAATCTACATCTTCATTCACCACATCTGTTGCTATTTTGCTTCTGCGCAAGCTCTCATCATGCTCCTCCGCAGAATTATACGCTGACACTTTTCTTCGAGGACCTCCAGTTCTCTTCCGACTGTTTAACCTCCCAATCTGCTTATGAGAAACACCCAAATCATCTGAAGCAGCAGCCTCCTCAGACCCCATGGGCACCACTTTCGTAACCGAGGGCCTCTTCACTGTTGTAGGTTTCTTTCTCTTCCCAGATTTGACAGAGACTCTTTGGGTTTCTGTTTGAAAGATTTGTGTTTCTTGTACCTCAAGCTTTTCCTCTCCCTGGTCATGATACTGGGAATCCCAATTTGCTATAAAGGGATGCACTTGATTTGACATCCAAACTCTGCCACACCATTTACCTACCACAACTTTTCTCTGCTTGGCGGATCGTCCAGAAACATTATTAGTAGACTTCTTAGGTGAGCTTACAGGAGACGCACGGCCAAATGCATTGTAGATCACAGAATTGTATGCCATTTGCTTACTATAAAGTGGCGACCAACTAAGATTAGCACTGTAGAAAAGATTGATGCCCAGCTTCACAGCCCAATCACCATTTCCTGGAATGGCTTCCTCGATATCCAAAGCTGATTGTATCCTTTCCTCATCCTCTTTTGTTGCAGCCCTAAAATCTGTTTCCTTCCACAAATAATCAGTACCCAGTTCTTCTGAGATTAACTTTGCTTGCTCTTCTAGACCAGGATAATCTGCGACAAGTCCCCGGGTATTTGATAAGCAGAGAAAACAAAGAATCACTATGCCAGCTAGAATAAATGGCCCGTATTATTATGCATGCAGATACATTTGCCAAAACAAAAAATTACTTGACCAATTTCATCTTAAAAAATATTAAAAGGATATGAGAAACTGATCCCTCCACGTCAGCCTTCAAGGCTTCTCCTCAAATCTCAGTTGTGAGTGATTTTCTTTTTAATTCTTTTACCCAAGCAATTTTTTTCTCTCGCGATTTCTTCTCTCCCTTACTGCATCTACATTAGTCTTGCATATCCAATTACAAGATGACATGGTATGAATTTTTGCAATTCCAAGCTTGCAAGAAATGACAGACAAAATGGCCTAAGAAATAGGGATTCTTTATTTTCTTTTCCTTTTTAATTTATTTTGTCATAATTCAAATACAATAATTAATTACATAAATGTAATTGCAAGTGAATTGCGTTGATGTACATAAAATAACATTTTGGCATTAGGTGTCACCTTACTCCGTTGACGTGTTCCCATTACCTAACTAGGCGCGAAACCTCTAGACATGGCATTTTGGCATCACCTAGGCGTGCTTAAGCTTAAGGTTAAACGCGCCTTTTTGAACCATGATTTCAAATGTGTTTTTTGAAGCAAACATAAAGATTTGTTTGATTATTTTATAAACTAAAAATTATTGACGAAATGTCAACTGCTAAGTTAAGAAATAAACAGTTACTAATTATCTCGTAAGCTTATATTGCCACCAATATGATGTTGAAAATGAATTCCAAAAACATAAATGACTTACAAAGACTTAAACTAGCTTCATCATAACTGCGAATTACTTAATTGATAAACTAAGATGCAAAACTCACCGGCGCAAAACTCACCAGCCACCAGGCCGGGGACAAAGCTTGTACTATTTATGCATTTTTACCACACAAGATTACAGAAACTGGAGCATTAAATATACTATGAACAAGAGGAACTCAGCTTTCACAGAAGCTACACAATTTTATAACCCACTGGTCACTGGTGTGGCAGTTTTGACTATTTCTCCGAAATCCCAGAAGCCCTATCTTCTCTAAAGAATAATACAACAACCTAGGCACATCGCTTTCCATTTCCGAGAAACAAATAACTAGGCAACGCCAGAATGCCTCTCCGGTGAGTTTTGCAGTGAGTTAGGAATCCAAAAAGCAGCAGAGAAGTACTGTGCGCCTAGGTCTAATTAGGAGGAGCTAAGCAGTCAATATCAAAATGGAGAAATTAACATCATCTTTTCTCAATCTTTTCAATAGCTCAAGAAATTTGTGAGCTTGTAAGTTATTTTTCTTATTCTTAAGTGTTAAGTTATTAATCATTTGAACTAATTTAAAAATGTTGTAAAATGGATATCTCATTCATCAGTTAGTACTAGGTGCTATTTTTGTTTCCAACGTCTAGGCACGCTTAGGGGACCCCAACCCTCGCTTTGGGCCTAGCGGCTTCTTGAATGCATTCACAATAACTTTGTAATTTAGCATATCCCATATCTTGCATCTGACTAGGTTTTTTTATAATTTAGTCAGATCTTGCATCTGGCTAAGGTTTGATTTGGATACTGAAAGCAGAATATGGCGAGGAACAAATGGCGACAGTTCAGTTGTGCGCAAGAAGTTGCAAAACCAGCAAAATGGATAATGAACAAACCTGGATGACAAAGAAGAAATATATGAACTCCACCAATTCGACGAAGTTGTTGTTCAACTTCAACAGCATGCTCAAGACAGAAGACATGCATACGAGAAGAGTCTTCATCACATCCCAGGGAAAGCAATGCACCTGTAGTATCTTCTCCTGGGACAATAGCCTTGCTACACTGAGCACTCTCTGTATCTGCTAGATCCCCATTTTCAGATGCAATAATAGACCTGTCAAGCATTTGATTTCCGTCCACATAATTTACTAGTTTGTGTCCATCATGATGTTGCACATTGTTCTCAAGATGCTGGAGAAAGAGTGTGTCTCTGCTCCCACAATCAAGTTTTTGTTGAGGAACCGTGTTATCACTGGTTGTACCATCAGGAAGCTTTTCCTTAGAAGAAGGTGAAGCAGAGTCTTGATGCTGATGGTTACCTTCTGATAAACTATTCATCCCATTATGGTCATCAATATGGTAGGGGGAACCACCTAGATCTTCATCAGAGTCGGATGAAAAATCTCCATAATTCAATGCTAATAGACCAAGCGCTGATGATTCCATTTCTGGTTTGGTATCTTCAGGAACTGCTACAATGCTCTGATCTACCATCTGTCTTGGGTGATTTGCATATTGCAGGACACTGTCATAAGGTTCAAGACCAGTATTCTCCTGAGCCCTTCCTGTATCCGAATAGCAAAAGCATGCCTTCAGAACAACAGACTAAATAAATTATGTAAACAAGAGTCGCCAACAATACAAAAGCTGGCCTCACAGCAGATCCTGATAGCTATCGTCCGGCTTGAAATTAAAAAAAAAAAAGAGGTCATTTAAAAAGGGCACTGCTTCGGAAGTGTAGCATCAGCCACACTTATAAAAGCATCCGCGTCATAGAAACAAAGGTAGGCCATGTCTGCTAGATCTAACAATGGCTAATTCCAAGATAATACCAACCAAAGAATATGTAAGAAAAGGGATCATATGTGCAGTGACAAATAACAAGCACTCAATAAAAGGGTTTTGCATAAAACCTACTTGTCATAGATGTATTTGCATCTCCATCTGCACCAACGAATGAATCTTTACTAATGCCAGAAACAACTGTCCAGTCGTTAAAGAAGCTACAATCAGCTGACATGAAGTACCTCGCAGCTGCTTCTCTGGGTTGAATGATAGCAACACAATCGTAATTCAAAATTCCACAGGTCACGCAGGAAAACAGTCTCTGATCTGGGAATCTACTGTCACGCATCACCATCCTTCCATTATTTCCTTCAGGAATATGCATGTTTCCACTATGGTTCAATGTTGGAAATATGGTTCCTTCACATGGAGGACCGAATTTTGTTTTCAGTTTACCCATGCCTTTGACTTTATCTGTCATACCTGACCTGTCTGGCATGGCATCATGAGAACCAGAGGAGGCTTTAGATTGTTCCATGAAACCCTTGTGAGCATATAACCCAAATGGTTTCACAAACTGCGAACCGACCAGGGAATTCAAACACAGAGATATATCTGAAGAACTTCGGGGTAGAAGCACAACCGAGGAGCCTTTCCCAAGATTATGAAGTAGGTCATTATTGTGAATGACATTTTTCACAAACATCTCTTTTGTCACCATTTCCCCTTCGCCCTTTTGCTTTTCCTTTAATCTAGAGCTCCTTGGCTTAGCACCAATATTTACTGTCAATCTGCAAGGAAATTATAACAAATGTGATGGCGTTTGTTATAGTCAAAAATAATTCTCATAAACTAATCTAGAAACTAGGTGGAACAGGTTACAAGAGAATGATTCACATATAGGCTAATCCAGACAGTAGACGGGAAGTGTACAAGACATAAATTCCCAAGTGACTTCTAGGTTAATTATGTTGAGGCGGTAAAACAAATTCAATAGACCAAATGCAAGGACAGAGACGTATAAAGCATCGTAGGAACATGACATCGATGTACTTATACAATACCCGCAGTGCTTGATACACATAAGTTGTGGTTATAAAATGAGAATTTACAACCCTTCAAATCACATAACCAGCCAGCGAGTATTCTTAAAACCATAGGTCAAATTTTATGTTTCAGATGTTGCTTAAGGGTTTGAGGTAGCAGACAAGCAAGCCCTACAGTTGTCAAATAAATGAAATCAAGAACTGAAGAACATACCTTGAACATAACTCAGATGTAAGATCATAGAGTAACTGAAAATGAGATACCATTGGAGGATAATTGATAGAAGCTCTTCTAATAGCAGCATCTTTAGCAACTCTCAACCATTCAGGAGTTGCAATATTTGACGCCTCCCCACAGTTAAATCCTAAGTGTTCGAAATGTGAACAAAAAAATCACGACTGCATAGAACTGAAGTAGAACTAATAACTCATAATCATTATTGCACACAGATGAAAGTACTGAAGGACAAGGCCACTTTACCATGACTGAACCCTGAATGATAGGCTCTCGGGAAGGTGACAACAAACTCCCCAGCATTTTGTACCAGCCTAATTTTACGCAACCAAGAAAGTCAGAACTCAGAAGACAGAGGCATATTCAAATAGACATATTAGAATCGCGGCTCGAAGAGGTGATTAAAATCCCATTATAACATAAACGTAGCAACTACATGGCCATAGTCTCTCTCAATCGTACACTGAATAACTATGTGAAATTGAAGCTATGACAAGACATATCCGAACTACTTTCTGCCTGTTAAACTCCTATCATCAATCAGGTTAAATAGCTCGCTACAAACTGCAAGCGTATTCAAACATAACAACCCTACAAACTCTAAATGGAGTCATAAACCAACTGATACTGGATGCAACATAGTGGAACCGCAGAGGACAATAGAAAAGATAAACATGGCACCTGCAGCATGGAACACCTGCTCTAATGAATACTTCAGGCGACATAACTGTGGTCTTCTCACCCAGAACAGCAAAAGTGACTGACAGGAAGCAGAGAAAACTGGCATTAGTCAGACATAAGAGAAGTAAGGTAAGATGAGGTGAAAAAATAGTAAGTTCGATTTTTTAAGAAGATATCTCTCAAGACTCAAAGGGAAGACATCCGGAGAAGAAAAAAGCCTGAACCCTTAAAGTTATTGAAGATCCAATGAACCCTGCTATCCAGCAGCCCAGTGAATCAACTAGACCGTCCACTTAATATCATTCAAACTACACTTACATCATTCAACAGCCTATCTAAATAAGCTGCGAAGATTGCTGAAAGGATGTTCATCATCATTCAAACTACACCTTTATTGTCAACAGATACTGAAACAGTTCATAATTCATCACTGCAACATTCAACAGTACAATTGTGCAGCGAAAACTAAGAGAAGCGACAAGCTATCAACTGGTTTTCAAACTCCATGACTTGGGGATAAGTAAAAACTCACCAAGAGGATTGATTTCTCCACCATAGCCATGAACCCTGACCACCTCTTCAAATGCTACAGCAGCCTCCTTGGGAACACCATACCAAGTCTTCCCAGCTCCCATGTGCATGTAATTCAAGCTGTGCAAGTCGTGGTCCTCGACATGCCAAGCAAACCAACTAAACATCATAGCTATGTACAACATGGGGGAAGTAACACCAGGAATCTCCTCCTTCATAAACCTCAGCAGCGAACCTTTCGCCCGAGCAACCCCTCTCATATTCCACTCTGTTTCCCCAACAGTCATCCCTTCGACAATTATCCCTTCCCTCCCAGAATTCTTCCTGACGGAGAAAGCAGAACCAGGCATGTCATTGGCGTACTCTACGGAGAAAGGCTTGTCGACAGTTGCTTTCCAGTAAAGGGTTTCGGTCTCGAGAGGAGACAGAGTGCCTCCCTTCTTGGTGTACTTCTTCAAATAGCTCTTCTCGAAAGACTTGGCCTTAGCTTCAA